GCTGCCATGTGGCTATTTCGCCAGGATATGAGTTTTATCAATGGTGTCCCGCTTTTGTCCCGCGTTACCAATGTTAAAATCTGGTCACCTGATGTACGTGGTTATTTTTTTTTCTTTTCCTTTTTGATCATCCCCTGACTACCTTGAGGCTATTTCTTCTCCATCCTCAGAACTTAACACTATTCCCTTGAGCAATGTATTCCAAATCCTTAATGTCACACTTGTGGTGTGATAATCGTGGACTGATTTTCATTCAGCGTGACTTCAGGCAACAGAGTAGAACTGCCCCCCTAGGGTTTTCTAGATTGTCATTAATGGGGGCAGACACCAGGTTTTCTCTTCCTGGCGGGGGGAATCAGAGCAGCCAGGCTTTGGATCAGCTGCCTGCTTTGGGATTGGAAAGATAACGGCCAAGCTCTGCGGTTTTCTTGGGAGACCCTGCCCTGTCTCCTCCACATCTCCCTCTTCCCTCCCTCCACCTGGATCAGGGACACTGACAGACTCAGCGAAGTCCTGGTGAAGTGATTTGTCCGACAGCAACCGGGGTGTAGGGATAATGAGAGTGGTTCTACAATGAAAACTATAAACCAAAGTCCTTTTTACCCTAAATGGTTTGAAAAGTGAATTGCCTGAGTTTGGCAGTTCAATGGAGTCTGTAAACTGGTGTTGTTGGAGAAGAGACCATTTTCCGTAGGAATTGGACACAGAAATGATTTCATTCATTTGCCCGTGCTAGTAGACGAGGGAGGAAAGACCGACACTGAGTTTCACTCAGGGACTTCAGCCTCTGTCACACACACCCGACCTCCTGCCACCTCACCCTTAGGAACTCAGTTGATACGCAAAACAGCCTCCTGGCCATCTCAGCACCTGGTGTTTGTCATTTAATGGAGAATGATGGGCTTACTTTATAGTAGGCACCATGGAAACTATGAAAATTAATTTGGCATGCCTGTAATTGCCTCTGAATGACAGTTTGTCAAAACCACTTATTTTCTGAGGCTCAGTAAGAATGTTGCGCCAGCTGGAAACATTTTAAAGGACCCATCAGTGTCTCGTGTTCCAAGTCGGCTTAGTGTATCTCAGGTGTTAATAGGACTTTCTTAGGTTTTCTACCAATTTCTTAGGACAGCATTCCCCTCATGGAGCTAGATTTGCAACGTGCAGATCTTCCCCACCAGATGGCGCTGTTGCCAACTTGATGGAACTCGTGGTTTTTTAATTATTTACCAGGCGT